TAATTTCAATAAATAAATTAATATAAAACTATAGAATAACGTTATCTACAGTAATAATACATAAATAAAATTATTATTAATTATAAATTATATTTTTATTTTTTTTTTTTTTTTTTTTTTATAGATCACGAGTTGAACACAACACAAAAGATAATTTGTTAAAATTATTAACAACATTGAAATAAAACTCTATAGAATTGTATTAATTGAAAAATAATCTAATTGTATTAATTAATTTATTAATTTGTAAATAACGTTATTTTTTTTTTTTTTACAATTATATCTGTAGATATTTTCCCATAAGATTATTATCACGTGTAACATGTTGGAATCGAATCTCTCGGTTGTTTTTACAAGGATCATTGTTGCGAATAATCTCCAATGTTGCACCGCAAACGTTGAAAATGATAATGTGAAAGGATTTTTGCTTTGTTTTTTTTTTTGTATTATTATTATTATATTTTTCAAACTACAATAGGAATGGAAAAAAAAACAAAATTATTAAAATAAATCACATTTTTGAAGGACAAAGTTATTCCAATGAAATGATACGGGGAAAAAAAAAAGAACAAAAAAAAAATAAAAAAATAAAAATTACAAAATTAATTACAGCGGTATCAATTAATAAATTATCTAATAATCTATCTTAATTGAAATGAACAATATTTGTTTAAAATAAAGATAGGATTTCAAATGTTTAAAAAAAAAAATAATAAAATGAAAAATTGTAGGATGAGATTTGTTTGTTCAAACGATTGATAAATAAAAATAACTGTTTAATAATAATACTGTTTATGATCTGTGATTAATATAAAACCTTCCCTCTTCTTCTAAAGTGTTAACAGACACCCAGACACCACGGGAATGTACTTAGGGTGGTGCAAGATCCTATAAAAGCGTGATCGATTGAACGCCTTGGCGCACTCCCTTCTAAGACGTCCGTTTTGTTACCGGTGGTGTCTCAGCATCACAACGATGACATTACTTGTAAGTGATTCAAAAATAAAACAAGAACAAAAAAAAAAAAAGTGATTTTGAAAAATATGCTACAATTTATCCAAAATATATATATATACATAAGTATATCAAAAAAGAAAAAAAAGAAAGTTTTTCTACGAAAGTTTCTTTGATCCTAAAAAAAGACAAAAAAAAAAGACAAAAGTTTTGTATTATTTTGTTCTCTCCCATCTTTCATTTTCATTATCCATAATATCTTTCTTTTAAATATGATTTTTGATTGTGTTCTATTCAATTATTTTCTTTTCTTCTTCTTTTTTCTTTTTCTTTGACTACTAATGTAAGTTCGGTAAAAAAAAAAAAATGAAAAAAAAAAAAAAACAACAACATTTAAAGTGAAGTGTATTATTTATGAAGAAAATATTAGAAAAAAAAATATGATGGGGTGAATTTTGTTCCAGATAGTACTAACCGTGTTGCTCGTAATGGCGAGTACCGAAGCTAAGTACATGTGGGCACCCTTGTACGAATATCGTGGACCACCAGCACCCCTATCGAAAGATGGCAGGGTATTAGAAACCGCGGAAGTTGTACGTGCACGTAATGCACATATGGCGGCACATGCTGAAGCATTGTCAAGGATTAGAGAAATCAAACGTAACGATTATACTGACAGGATGATGATGATGAGACCAACTATGGTACCACCAATTATTGCACCATTAACCATCAAAACAAGAACTCGAACGATTGCTGCTGCACCACTTTCACCAGATGGTCGTGTTGTTGACACCCCTGAGGTAACGCCATTTTTTTTTTTTTTAAATGACAATTTTACTTCTAATATTTTATATTAATATTAGAAATTGTTTTTAATATTTTTTGTGTTGTTGTTTTTCTTTTTTTTCTCAATATGACACGCCATTACGTCGACATTTTTAATGATAACTTAAGGTTATTATTGTGTAAAATAATTATCATATATATATATATATATGATAATTTATATATTATAAATATATTATATAAATATAAAGATAATTTATATAATATAATTAAATATTTTTATTATTAAATAATATATAAGTATATTATTATTACTATTATTAATTGGTATTAGGAACTCGAAAGTTAATTGCCACAAATACCAAATCCCATCAGTATATATATATATATATATATATATAATAATTAAATTCTTGCATATAGCAATTTTCAAATTATATAACATATTTTAATAAATATAAAATGTTAATAAATAGGAGCATCCTATAATTTACAACAAAAGATTTAATATTTAAAATTAGATTTACTAACTAAGCCAATTTGACTAATTAAAAATTTGATTACTACATATATATTATTATTATACTTATTATTATTATTATTATTATAATTATTATTATGATTTAGTCCTATTATCGCTCCCGCATAATAGGACTAAGTTCTAATAATAATTTATTTTTACCGAGGGTAGGTTGCAAGTCTCACCCTCGAACCCTCCTCCTTTATCTGGGCTTGGGACCAGCTAGTTATTATCTAGTTATCTAGATACTAACTAGGCGGAGTTAAAATTTAAATATTATTTTTCAAAACACATATTAAGACACACACACACACACACACATCAGTTTTTAATTATAAAATAAAAAAATTCATTCTTCTACTCCAACCCTTTCCATTCAATGTTTATAAGTCATGAAAAATAATACTGAACAAAACATTTGTTAATTTAATTATTAATAATAATGAAATTTGTTGATATAATTTTAGGTAGCTCAAGCAAAAGCTGCACATTTAGCGGCACATGCACGAACAACCTCAAAATTGGCCGCAGCTGCGGCTTCCGCAGTAACAGCGGCCCAATACCAATTGACCGATTACGATGACCATAGAAATCTAATTTACCTGTCACCTGTTCGTGTTAATTATGCAGCGATATCACCAATAGGATATCGAGGACCACTTGCACCTATTGGACCCGATGGACGTGTCATGGATACACCGGAAGTTGCTAGAGCTCGTGCTGCTCACATGAAAGCACGTGCGCGTGCAATTGCTATGGTCTCTCATCGTGAGGACAGTAATTATTATTAAAAAAAAAAAAAAAAAAAACCCACACACAAGAAAAAAAACATGATTTACAATAACATAATTGGTGTATAGTAGTAGTAGTTAGATCTTTCAAATCCTATCTTTTGTTTTTCTTTTTTTTCTCTTAGGTATATTATTATAATGATTTATAATTAGAAAGAGAGAGAGAGAGAGAGAGAGAGGGATACACAGGGGTTAGCTAAAAATTAATTGGAATTGCAGTTTTACGATTAACAACAACAAAAATAAGGATAACATTATTCGTGTTACAAATAATTACAATTTTTGGCCCACCCTGTATAGGAATTTCTATTTTTCCATAGAAATTAAATTATGTTTTTCATTTTTTTTTTTTTTTTGCACAATATTTATAGTATTTTTAATATAATCTCTCTATTTAGGAATAGAAATATAACACTCTATTATAATTGTCAGATAATAATTGTTAATTTTTCATAGTGATAATTGATTTTTGTTCTTTTAACTGCATACTTTCATACATTTCCTTTTTTTTAGGTTCATAGATCTTTTTTATTATTGTTATTATTATTATTATTATTATCTTCTTTTATAAAAGGGGATAAAAATTCGATAAAAATGATTATTCGAATATCGTTCGAGTTTTTTAGTTGGCTTGAATAATAGTAGTAACATTTTTATGTTTAGGTATAAATAATCTTCTTATACTTGTCTTTTCTTTTTGTTCTGTTTATTTCTTTTTTTTTTTTTAATTTTTTTTTAAAGAAAGAAGAGAATGATGGTTAATTCGATATAGACGATTATGTACCTGATTTTTCCGTCGTCTTTTCTCTCTTTGTCTGTAATAGTTTAAACAAAAACTCGAACTATACTAATCAAAACTTTTGCAAACAATTGTATATAGTAATTATTGTAGATTTTGATTAATAAAATAAACTGATATTTTGAATCATTTTTTATCATTGATTTTGATAATTATTATTTTATGAAACATGCATATATATATAYCTATATATGTAATCAATAAATATATCGTATTATTATTTATTTAATAACTAGTTGTATTCCGCAACGCGTTATTTATTATAATATTACGCCTGTAGGAATGCAACCCTCCAGACACACTTTAAAAATGTTGCTTGCAAGCGACATCTGTTGGGACGGCAATTTTTTTCACTCCAAACTGGTCATACATGTATGTATGGCGGGTTGCCTATCTTTCGGGCAGAACAAAAAATCCGTTCTGACAGATGGCGCTCACAAACAGCATTTTCAAACTGTGTCTGAAGGGTTGCATTCCTACAGGCGCACCTTTTTATAATTATTAAATAAATAATAAAAATTTAATCGTAATTTTATAATTATTTATGCATATTTTTAACAATAATATTTAATATCTTACATGAATAGTAAATTTAAAAAAAAATGAAATTATTCCATGTTTCGACATCTAATGATCGTCTTAAAAATAATAAAACATTAAAAAATTGTTCATAATTTTATTGGAGAATGATCCATGATTTAAAATCATGTACGTTTATGTATATATTCTCACGAATTTCAATAATAATTAAATAAATAATAATCTGTTTGTTTTGTTTATTCATTTTCAAATAATCTCCATTCTAAAGAAGTTTTCACTTTGAAAAAAAAAAACTAAAAAACAAATTAAATAGAAAGAGTTAACGGTAAATCATAAGATCATATACATATTCATGAAATAAAATTCAAATACTAAGTCAATAAAGAATGTAACTACGATGGTGTGGTACTTCGTTATCGAGCGATAAATCAAGGAACGATAAATCAAAAGGTAACATGACGTTAATGACACTACCGTATTGTCGATTAGATCGAAATCTTGTCGGGAGCGTGTTAATCGAACAGCACGTGCTAGATCAATAGATCATATATACGATCTATATACGATCTATATACGGTCTATATATATGAGACGTCCTTCGTGCAAGGAACTTACTTTTCCACGGCGTCAATGAACGTAAAATGAATCGAATAAGATCACAACGAAGTAATTCAAAGCAAATGAAAAACTAGTTTAGAATAACAGGATTATTAAGAGGATCACCTTGAAAATCATTTCCTTATGATGATGAGAACTCGTACGATTTACAGTTATTATCATTGAATTATTCATAACTAGATTGTTCATATATCATTTATACGTATTCATGTTATATGTATGTATATATTTATATATACGCATATATATGAATATAATAGAATACATTTAATAGCACCATACACATAAGAAATTGACAATTGATCGCTCGAAATCTAATATGATAATATAACATTAATGATATACAATAAAAAAGTAAGAAATAAGGCATAGAGAGCGACAGACAGACAGTAAAAATAAACCAGAGATCTATGAATCGAAGGAATTATTCTCGTTCGTCCGGATAAATGATAAGAGGTAGTTGAAAATCGTTGAAATCAGTCGGAACGAAGAGCACATATCATTTCTTCATCATCTGCATCTTCTTCTTCTTCTTCTTCTTCTTATGATTAGTCTTGAACGAGGTAGATACAAAAATTGAATATTATCGAGGTAGATTTTAAAAGATACCAGTAGGTGTGCATCTCTTAAATTGATTCGAGTCGAACGAACGTAATCCAAAAAAAGGAAAAAAAAAAGAAATAAATCCTTTTAGTAATAATTGTGTCCAGGATTCCAGGATCCTTGGTTCCAAGCGCCATTGTTATTCCATGATGGATCGTAAGCACCAGAAGCAACTGGATCAGCTGGCCCAGCTGGTACACGTTGAGCTTCAGCATTGTACAGAGAGAAATGAACTGACTTGGCTTGTTGAACCTCGGGTGTGTCTACTACGCGACCATCAGGTCCCAATGGTGCTGGTGGACCACTGTTAAAAGAACAATTTAATGAATTAATATTAATAATATCTCGTTAATTTATTTGATATTATTAATAAACCTGTAATGAGGTGCATAACCAGCAGGTGCTCCAGGTGCGTATGGTCCAGGTACGGGTCCACCAGGTCCTTTCGGTGCACGTGCATTGGCTTCGGCTAAAGCTGACAAATGAGCAGCCTTTAATTGGGCTACTTCAGGAGTATCTACCACACGACCATCAGGACCAAGTGGTGCTGGTGCAGCATGCCCACCATAACCGGCATGTGGTCCATACCATTGCGGAGCACTAAGGGCCACGCTTACCACTCCACAAAAGATTACCTAAAAATATGATAAATGTTAAGAACAAGCAATTCTTTTTCTTATATAAATACAAAATTTAATTGTTTATACTTACAAGATGTTGAATCATCGTTCCTCAAACGTTCAAACTTTAGCACAATACTCTAAAAAAAAACAAGAATCTCTATAACGTCTGTTTCAAACGAAGTCGAGAACTGCATTACAAGTTTCACTTACTTAGATCGTCGAATTTATAGGAGTAGAGACTGCATTGGCACTCGATCATGCCCCACCTTTGTACTACACTCACCACCAAGACAGGGTATAACCACACCCAAGAAAATGCTCTCTTTAAGGCTGCAACGTGTGTCCTGTAACATTTACCAAGCGTTAACAATGACATCGCTTTGAGTAACCTCGCCACGCATTCAACATACTCGCCATTTCCGTGAGCGAGTTATGCGAAGCGATATTAACACCCAAACAACTCTCATGGATCATGTTATGACGATCTATGCATCTATGATCTATCGATCTTTCTCTCAGAATAATAGAAAATAAATGATCAATCTCATATATATTTTTTTGTACATATATATATATATATATATATCTTATCGTGAAATAGAAAACTTTTTCATGTAAAATAAAAATAGAAAAAGATAAAAATATTATCGTGATTGCATAATTTGATTTATAGGTACTTCAATTCGCAACCCACGCGATGATGTCATAAATAGTTGTCACTTTTATCGCAACGCGTGACAATCATTCGTCAACCTGTGGTTCACCACACCAATACTAACAAGCAATCATTTATACAACAGACAAAAGATTCCTACGAATCTCTGATAATTCAAGATCCGCCTAGTGTATCCGATCATGCGAGAACGTTTGACATAATCTCTCTTTCTAGTTTTTTTTTTTTTTTCTAATACAAGACAATCGGATTGCCCTAGCAATACAAAAAGAATTCCTTCAAGGAATTGCACCTTATGACCCGGACCACGACTTTTGTTACGCATGAACGATAACTATTTAATAATTTCTATATTATTATAAATATTTTTATAATATATCATTTGAAATACTTTCATTTTGTTTTCCTTTTTTTTTTTTCTATACAATTAAAAATTTGATGATCATTTGAATATTTTCTAATCTTCTTTACCATCAGTGCTATCTTCCTTATCAACATTTCGGTCTGCCTGCCATCTGGCGAGTTTGCATAATAATTACTTGGAACATTGAATCTGTATTATCAATAAATCAGATAAAAATAATGAATTACATTGATTGCGTTTACATAAATTTTCTTTCGTATGATTTTATTAGTCGAATTAATCAAATTTTAAATCATTATTTAATAAAAATAATCATTAATATTATTTAAACACTTTCGATGGTTATAATTATATATCAGATTCTTTGCAAATCAATTACTTTTCCTATTAAATTCATAGAGAAAGAAAAAATCGTAAAAGTAACAATAATAATTATCTATTATTTAAATATCTATTATCTAAACGAAATATATTAGATATTATTATTTTTACTTATTATTATGCAAAGTACACGAAGTGATCGAGACACCATCTGGTAACACATTTCGTGAGTTTCGTCATTCACATATTCTGAATGTACAAACTAAATAATAAATTAATACTTAATGTAGTGTGAAATAAAAACAAAGACAATTAAAAAATAACAAAAATAATAAAAAAAAATTATGTTCGGCACGTCGAGAGAAATTGTTAAAAATTTAATTATTAAATTTGGTGAGAAGTAATTATCCAATATTTGTAAGATGAAAAATAAGATGGTAGATCATAGTTTACAAATATATCTTTTCACATGTTAAAAAATAATGATTCTTTCTAAATTATTTTACTTAATTTAATAACAAATTATTTTTCTAGGTAGACAAAATAATAATTTGAATGTATGGTGTGTAAAAAGATTGAGAAGTAATTTACCAAATCAAGAATGTGTGAAAAACGTTTTTCATCAAAAATATGGACAACCTACTTCAATGTCTCATCCTCATCTTTTAAAAGACGGAGAGGTTACTCCTGGTATACACCGTGATGAATACAAACAAAGGAGATCTAAATTAATTGAAAATATTCTACAGAACAGTAATACAAATGATCGATGTAAATCACAGTTTATAATAATACCATCGTCTTCTAAAGTATACATGTCTGACAAAATTCCATACGTTTTTCGTCAGAACACAGACTTTTTATATTTCTGTGGTTGCAAAGAACCTAACACGATATTAGTTATTACCACTGTAGGAGATAATTTTACATCTATTTTATTTATGAATCAGAAGGATGAACATTCTGAGTTATGGGAAGGACCAAGAACTGGAGTAGAAGTGGCTCCTGATTTGTTCGGTGTTAACAAAGCTCTTCCTGTCACAGAGTTTGAAAGATTTTTTGGTTGTTTTATTAATGAACATAAAAATAGCATTATTTGGTACGATGACACTAATATACTTCAAACTGAACTACACGTTAAGTTAAATGAATTAATTAAAACAAATAATATTCAACGATTTATCTCTCCAAAGAGTTTGTTTCATAAAGTACGTTCAATCAAATCGCAAAGTGAAATTAATTTGATGCAAAAAAGTTGTGACATAGCATCTATGGCAATAAAAAAAACTATTCAAGCTTCCAGACCAGGAATGAGCGAACATCATCTATTTGCAATAGTCGATTACGAATGTCGTATAAATGATGCTGAATTTTTAGCTTATCCACCTGTTGTTGCTGGAGGAAGCAATGCTAATATTATTCATTATATTTCTAATAATCAAATTATTCAAAATGAAGATATGGTATTAATGGATGCAGGTGAATATAATTATTATTTTTTTAAATTATTTTCTATTATTCAGATATTTCATTGTTTTCATTTAATATTATCTATTTGTAGGTTGTCAATATCACGGTTATACGTCTGATATTACAAGAACGTGGCCTATCAATGGTAAATTCACGCCAGAGCAAAGAATTTTATATGAAATTGTATTAGATATACAAAAAGAATTATTGAAAAAAGTAAACAAAATGCCAACGTTAGATCAATTATTTCACAACATGTGTTTGCTCTTAAGTAAAAGATTACAAGAAATAGGCTTAATACCTAAAAGTTTATCAGGAGATAAATTAATATCAGCTGCCTTTAGTTATTGTCCACATCACGTTAGCCATTATTTAGGAATGGATGTACATGATACTGCCAAAATATCTACCAATGTTCCAATACAACCTGGAATGATTATAACTATCGAACCTGGTAAATAATCTGACAATATATATGTATATATCTAATATTTATCTATACATAATTTTAACATATATATTTTTTACAGGTGTATATATTAATCATAAAAATCCCTTGGCACCATCAAATTTCCATGGGTTAGGCATACGAATTGAAGATGATGTTTTAATTACAGAAAATGGACCTTTAGTATTATCAAGAAATTGTCCAAAAGAAATTAATGAAATAGAAACTCTAGCAAGTGAAAATCAATGTTAATTAATTATTAACTTTATAATTAAATCTGTTAATAATTACTTCGATATATAAATGACTTTTATAAAAAGGAACATATTTATGGAATGTAGATACATTATTTGTCTCATTTTTATTGATCTTAATCAATAAATGTAAGGATTTTTAAATATTTAGACAAAATAAACTTTTAATTTTGTATGCATATATATATATATATATAAATCTATAAAAATATCTTGGATTAAATGTTACAATATTTTTACTGCTAATTTATTATTCTATTCAAAAATTTGTTTAAGTGGAAGTAAATGAATATTGTAAACTTGTATCCAATATAACAATAATAAGATTAATAATAATAATGTATATGCAAGAAGTGCTAACATGAATATGTAGATATATATATTTATATATATATATATATATATTTTATAGATAAAAAAATCGGTAAGTAAATTTTATAGTATTGTATACAATACAATTCTAAATGGAAATGTTTGAAATGTACTTTTCTTAAATCATTTAAATGCAATTATCTTCTTTCACAGAAGTAATTAAAAAAAAATCGATTAATCCATTAAACTTTTACTGATAGAAATTTATGTTGTATCTTCTTGTCGGCTTCTTTTAAAGTAATGAAATTATTAAGCTGTTTTGCACGTAACTTTGACCAAACCATATGATCATGAAGCGAGTGTATCTGAGCAGCAGCAAGTGCAGCACTTTCTGGATAAGCGACTGTTGTGCAACCAAGTCCTGCAAACATGATTAAAAAAACAAATAAAAACAAAACATTAATTAATTAAATATCCTACAATAAGTTTACTAATTGTGTATATACTAATCCAAAGTATTCAATAAGTTACATTTATATATTCTATAATTACACCATTTGATAAGCAAATTTCGCAATCCATTTACATTAATAATAACGTATTCATATCTGTATTATTTTTACTAACATATTTATATATAATTGAAATAAAAATAATCAATTTATAAGAAATGTATTTACATACCTGAAGGTACATTTATGGATGACCATATGTCTTGTGTAATATTCTCTGGTTTAAAAGGAGGACAATTAATAACTGGAAAAGTAGTATTTCCAGACAATACTGGACCTAATCCATTACTTCTCCCTGCTACAGCAATCAACACCGCCTACATTAAAAAAGAAGAACTTCTGATATCTAAGAAGTAAATAATATGCATTCGACATAATTATCGGTTTTTTTATCATATTTGTAAATGGAATTTTCTTTGGCAGTAGACTGGCATAGGTCATTCAAATTTATACAGATTCGTATCCATATGATCAAACATTCCACTGGCAAGCAATTAACTATTATTCTCGTAATTATAATAAATTATTAATTTGATTTATTTCAATACCTTTTTCCCGCTACCTTCATATTCAGCAAGAATACGTAGAGTTTCAAGAGTACTTTTGTGTGCACTGCACACTCTAAGTTCCACTATTAAACCTAATTTCTTCGCATAGGAAGCTATTTTCTCGCAATGTTCTACATCCGATGGAGAACCCATTAAAATAACGACCAATGACATCGGAGATAAAATGAGATGATCCAGTTGAGCTGCTACCCATTCGAAATTGCATTTAATTACATCCAAATCAGCTTTAGTGACATTAGATAAATTTCTATATACCTGGGTAAATGTACACACATATTATAAATACATACATATACGAATAAAAACATAATAGGATATATAACACATTATAATTTTGAAAATGATAATAAAAAAAGAAAACTATTAATTACTTGTTTATCTTTCATCAAACGCTTATCACCGGATGGCCATAATCTCCAGGAATCACTGTCAATAACATCGGAAACAACAATATTACCAGACGTATCTACACCAAATTCTATTTTCATATCTATAAGAGAACAATCTCGTGTTGCCCAAGTTCTTTCTAGGATTTCGAAAACGGTCAATGTAGTACGTTGCATAATATCAACCTCGTCTTTGCCAATGGTAACTCCATTTAATTTGAAATTAGCAGAAATAATTTGTTCTTCCGACCATTGAGGATCATGATTGGCATCGTCCTTGTAAAATGTTTCTTGCAATGGTGGATTAAATCTGTATCCTTCTTCTACACCTATATTAAAAATAGAACATTTGTTAATCTTTTAACAAAAGTTATTTCACCAGAATAAACAATTACTTACCTGAATGTCTTTTCAAGAAACTACCGGTGGCTAATCTTCTTGTAACCCATTCGATGGGTACCATTTCACATTTGCGTGCTATAAAAGCATTCTTATTACTACTATCAAGCTTGACAAAGGATGTATTGATACCGGCTTCATTTAATAATTGAAATACTTTAGATGTTGTAGCTGTACTAATAACGCCTTTGCCTTCTAAATTATGAGCCTTAACACCATCTCCAGCCGTAATTCGATCTTTACTTTGAATGTAACATAATGTTGGTTCATTCAAAATCTCATAGACCTTTTTGGTCTTACCTTCGATGATCAATTTACCTAATTTATATTCTGTAAAGTTACAAATAAAAACAACAGTCATTTGTCAATCATTCTCTCACTCTCCATAAACATATAATTTAATGATTTAAAACGTCATGATTTTTTACAAGTAATCAATAACCTGTAACATTTATCAAGTATCTATTGGTTAGATTTACCACGCATGTGAATTTAATTTAAAGAGATCATCATTCGAATAATACAATTTTTAAATACAATATGATCTATAACAAAATACTATTGTATAAAAAAAAAAAAACAATAGAACCTATCTTAATGCAACAATGTTCTCTCATAAATATAAATTTAAAAGATTTTTTTAAATATAAAAAAAGAAATAAGAATGACGAGACTCACCAGTCATTTTGTTAACCAGCCTATTCTAATCACGTACAACGATATGAATGCTGGTCCGCGTTACGGATCAAGGAGTAAAAAGGAATTTGATCAGATGGTAGTGGGGAGAAAAATAATATAACATATATGTATATAGATCATGTGTTTAATTATTTTGTTTGGTGTATGGAATATTCTGGTAATGCTGGTTGATCTCTTTCGATCGTGATGCTGTGGCATTATCGTAACCACATTCCCCTTCCCCTAACCCCTCGTACCGATTACTCAATTATTAAAATCAAAATAACGTAATCTAAGACGTGACGACATAAAAATTTATTCTCGCATTTAATACAAAATAAAATTGTTTTTTTTTTTTTCTTCTCGTATGTAACATTAATACTTTCGAATTTTTTTTCTTTCTTGCGTTATAGGATTATTCGAAAATTTATATATAATCGATATTACGCAATCGATAAATCGTAAACAAGTTAAATCGAGATTGGAATAACATATGTTTCAAAACATTTTTTTTGTTTTTTTTTTTTTTTTAAATTATTTTAACGCGGTAAAGTATGAAATTCAAGATGACCACTCTCATAACATTTTTTTTTTGTTCTCTTTGTTAATATATAATTAATCGATATTACGTAATCGATTATCGAGTTATCGTGATTAGAAAAATATATTTTTAAAGACTTTTTTTTAATAGGTCGATTTTGACAGACATATTAGAAATTATTTGGACGCGGTAAAATATGAATTTCAAAATGGCCGCTCCCATTGTTTCTTGTTTAAGGATCATTAAGTTCAATAGATAATTAATACAAAATTATTTTATATAATATAAAGTACAATTACCACTATCTGTCGATAATTATAGAATAATCTTTAATGTGAAATTTCTATTTAAATGTCAATGGAAACTTTGGATAAACAATGATAAACAAATTTTAAAAAAATATCGATAAATATTTAACAAACAACAATAACAATACGCATATTCAAACGTCATTAAGCAATATATGAATCATTCAAAATGAAATAGAATCCTTACAAATATTAGCAGAAGAAGAAGAAGAAGAAGAAAAAGAAGAAAAGGAAAAAAAAAAAAAAGAAAAAGTAATTATCGACAATAATATTATTAAACAAAGTGACTTTGAAAATAATTGAATTGAAAAAGTTTCATTTATAATTTCATTTCTATCCAACAAAAAAGAAACATCTAGAACAATCTAAAATCGAATAATAATGTAACGTGCAGAAAAGATCTCAATAAATTTCACATTGAATAAATAAAAAATAAATGAATCTCCATAGATAAATAGAAAAATAAATAAATAAAAATTATGTGCAAGTATATATGAATATATGTATATGTGTGAACACGTGCTTGAACAAATGACTAGTTCTAAATAATGAATGGTAATGAATAAGAGATAAATAAACAAATAAATAAATAGAAACAATGATTATATATATATATAAAAGTATATCTAATGAAAGATAACAAAAAAAATGGTAAAAAATAATCAAAAGAATTGATAGAATTAAGGGTAGAGATAGTAAATCAAAGTAGGGGGAGTAATAGTATAAAAAGCTTACCAATAAGCTTCTTTGGGGTAAATTCTATCCGGAAGTGAAGGAACCGGTTTCATGGCGTGATCGTTTTCGTCTTCTTCATTTGTTCTTCTTCTTCCTCTTCTTCTCCATCATCAGTCTGTCATTCTCTTGTCTAGAGAAATATAGTGGAATAAGAATTCATAAGAGAGACAAGTCCCAGTATGCTTCTTACATTCAAGTTCTAACTGTGTTTGTGTGAGCCGGCCAGAAAATAAAAGATAATAGTCAAAGAAAGAATTAGTTCACTGTTAAGAAGTAACATGTAAGTAACCATTGGTTTACGAGCTCATTTGTCGTTTAGTTGGCGAACAGAGTGGATTGTATTTTATTTCATCATATCGTATCGATTAATATACTATACGATCGATTATTATACAAGTTTATTATATTATAAAAACGTATAAGAAAAAAAGGCAGAACTACCAAATTTTGCACACATCTCCACATATGTATGTATTATTAATATATTATTATATATAACATATTATGAATATGTATATATATATATTATTATTATTATCATTATTCTATATTATTTCTAGTATCTTCTTCTTTGTATAAATACATTTTTTTAAATTCATATTTATAACATATTGTTGTATTAAAAAACATTCTATAATGCTGTTTTTATACAAAGTATTTTATCATTAATTATATTTAAGAAAATATAAAAGAAGAGAGAAATACGTAATATTCCAAAAGCACGTGCTGAGTTCGTTCTCTCTCTCTCTCTCTCTCTCTCTCTCTCTCTCTCTCTTTCTCTTTCTCTTTCTCCATACGTATTAACATATGTATTTATATATACATATATATATATATATATATATAGAATGGAACACGCGAATGAAGAAACCACGCACGTGATAAAGGATAGACGATCTAAGATTGCAATAATGATTTCTCTTGTTTTATATCTTGTAACTTAAAATGAAAGATTTGCTCGCATTTACATGAATATTAAAAAAATAAATAACCTTCAATTATATAATCTACTATTACATTTCATGTAGGTTTAACCTTTGTTTTATGTATCTAGGCTAAGAAATCGATCATAACATAACTACGTTTATCCTTTCCTTTCGTGTAATTAGAGATATACTTACATATAGTACACACACATACACAACACACACACACACACACACACATATAATATATATATATTTATATGCAAGTATATTATACTATTTTACGGTATGTGAAAATGAATTATCCAACAAGTACGCAGAAAACGGGTTGATAAAAGTTACGATGATATATTAATGATTTCTATTTAGATTTTTCTAAAACCTTGAATTAAATGACCATTCTAACGATCTTTCCAATATTCATGAAAAAACTGACACGTAATTATAGATTATTTCTATAGATCAACGTTTCATTCTGTTATCCTGATTTGTTTCTATTTTTCTATTATATTTTTATAACTTTCTTCTTTTACGAATGCAATTGTTTGTTTTAAGACTATCTTATTTCCCATTCTTGCATATTTGTTAGATTTTTTATAAGGTTCAACTTATTATTATTATTAATTTCTTTAATTTTAAATAATATATGTATGTTATGTATGTGTGTGGATGTGTGTTTATATGGATATAGGTTATTTTCATTGAATTTGTTTAGTATTGGTTTTATATTTTATATAAGGTTTAGATTATTATTATTACTATTATTATTATTATTAATTTGTTTAATTTATAGAAATATGTGTATGCACACGTGTATGTTTATATATATATAGGTTACCTCTCTTGAAACAAATAATATTGATAAATATCTTTAAGATAAATCAATATTTGAATAATACAAAAACATTAAATTAAAATATTATTGAATTGAAATGAAAGGAAATGAAATGTTTGTATATGTGATCAATAAAAATTTCTTATGAAAAATAAGTTTTTTAGATGACACAAAGCACATCGCAGTTGAATGATGAAATTAATTGCGAAATTTCTTTATCTAACCCCTTGGGGTCGATAGTTTATAGGGGCATTGACGATAATCTGAAATAAGACTGTAGGGGGTCTAGAATGCACTTCTAAAGACACTGATATTAATATTTACTTCACATATTTGTCCATATGTATATCAACATTTGTTCCATTTGCAAAACACATTACGTAAAATTAGTGACGTATAAAACGAAAGAATACTTTAACACTTTGATAATATTATTGAATGTAACTAAAAACAAAAAAGTTGATTTTCAACTAATTCTAATATTTATAATTTATTATATAAATGTATGACACGTAAAAAGCAAAACTATAGATTAATCTTTGAATCATTTTGTTATAGATTAAATATAAAAATGTCTCAGGAGATGAATGATGAAAGTTGTTCTAGTGCAATATCTCGTCTTTCAATAAATGAAGTTGAATCAAAAGATTCAGCTTCTAAATATGAAGGTAGAAATAAAGAAGTTTCTGGACTCACACATGAATGTGGTGTTTTTGGGTGTATTGCTGCAGGAGATTGGCCACCACAAATTGATGTAAGCCAAATGATATGTCTTGGTAAGTTAATTTTGAAGAATTTTGTGTATAATAAATTAAGTTAGATGATAACATTAACTATACATTTTTGAATAGGTTTAGTCGCTTTACAACACAGGGGTCAAGAAAGTGCTGGAATTGTTACAAGTCAAGGTGTTTGCTCTAAGTCGTTTTGTGTTCATAAGGGTATGGGAATGATTAATAACATTTTCAACGATGAAAGCATCAAGAAACTCAAAGGCAATTTAGGAATAGGTCATACTAGATACAGCACTTGTGCAGCTAGCGAAGAAGTTAATTGTCAACCTTTCGTAGTTCATACAGCACACGGTGCTTTAGCAGTTGCTCATAATGGAGAACTTGTAAATACAGAATCATTAAGAAAAATGGTAATTAAAATTGAATCTCTTATTTCCTTGACTTTTAATTTGTAACTTTATGAATTTAATTTTAACTTTTATCTATTACTTTGAATTAGGTATTAGGTCGGGGTGTGGGTCTCTCGACGCATTCAGATTCTGAATTAATAACGCAAGCTTTATGTTTAAATCCTCCTGAAGGTGAAGTTAATGGTCCAGATTGGCCAGCACGTATCAAACATCTCATGCAATTAGCACCATTATCCTATTCTTTAGTAATCATGCAAGGAGATAAAATTTATGGCGTTAGAGACCCATATGGAAACAGGCCTTTATGTTTAGGAAAAATAGTACCTATTGGCAAACTCGGTACGTTGCATATATATATATATATATAAACATTAATATTATAAAAATACATCTATAATTATTAAATTGTGTATTATACAAATTTAGCTGCAGGTGATTCAGATGACGACGATGAAGCAGAAGGTTGGGTAATCTCGTCAGAGTCTTGTGGTTTCTTAAGCATTGGTGCAAGATATGTGCGGGAAGTTTTTCCAGGTGAAATTGTTGAATTGACTCGTGAGGGTATTAAAACTATTGACATTGTAGATAGACCAAATAATAAACGACAAGCATTTTGCATATTTGAATATGTTTACTTTGCTCGAAGTGACAGTATTTTTGAAGGTAAACCATCGTTAACATTAATATCATCAATAAGAATTTAGTAAACTAGTATTTAATTTACATATTTTTATATTTTTCTTTACAGGACAAATGGTATATTCAGTTCGTATGCAATGTGGTCGTGTATTAGCAATAGAATCTCCGGTAGAAGCCGATATAGTTAGTTCTGTACCAGAATCTGGTACTGCAGCAGCACATGGTTATGCTAGACAAGTGAGTTATCTAATTAAATTATTACTATTACATAAAAAAAAAGAAATATAATACAATTAACATTAATTACTTATTTAATTCACATATTTTCTAGTCTCAAATACCATTTGCTGAAGTACTTTGTAAAAATAGATACGTTGGAAGAACATTTATTCAACCTAGYACACGATTAAGACAATTAGGAGTTGCTAAAAAATTTGGAGCTTTATCCGAAAATGTAAAAGGAAAAAAATTAATTCTGATCGATGATTCTATTGTTAGAGGAAATACTATTGGACCAATCATTAAACTTTTACGTGATGCAGGAGCAAAAGAAGTAACATAGTTGCAACTTTATACATATATATATATATATATATATATATATATATATATA